ACAGTCTGACCCTGTTCTAAACTGAGGACAAAGGCTAACCACTTTACGTCCCAGCAGAGTAAGGTAAATGTTCTCCCACCAAAATAGGGTAAATGTTATACCACTAGATAGGTTTAGAAGAGTAAGTTAAATGTTATCTCAACTGAGTGGGGGTTTATGTTACCCCAGCAGAGTTAGGTAAATATTATCCCACCCATCAGGGTAGGGTAAATGTTATCCCAGCAGAGTGGGGTAAATGTTATTCCAGCAGAGAAGGGTAAATGTTATTCCAGCAGAGTAGGGTAAATGTTATTCCAGCAGAGAAGGGTAAATGTTATTCAAGCAGAGTAGGGTAAATGTTATTCCAACAGAGTAGGGTAAATGTTATTCCAGCAGAGTAGGGTAAATGTTATTCCAGCAGAGTAGGGTAAATGTTATCCCAGCAGGGTAGGGTAAATGTTATCCCAGCAGAGTAGGGTAAATATTATCTCACCCACCAGGGTAGGGTAAAGTTATCCCAGCAGAGTAGGGTAAATGTTATCCCACCAACCAGGGTAGGGTAAATGTTATCCCAGCAGAGTAGGGTAAATGTTATCATACCCACCAGGGTAGGGTGTATGTTATCCCACCAACCAAGGTATGGTAAATGTTACCCCACCCAGCAGAGTAGGGTAAATGTTATCCCAGCAGTGTAGGGTAAATGTTATCTCATCCACCAGGGTAGGGTAAATGTTTCCCCACCCAGCAGAGTAGGGTAAATGTTATTTCCTCAGAGTAATTTTTTTCCAGCAGAGTAGATTGCCTCCGCGTGCATTAAATTTTCAAGATCAGGATCAAAATCATTCAGGATTAAAGTCAGGATCAAAATTAAAATGTCAAATACTATCCATTATTTATTTTCATCAACTTTCATTTGAAATAGCATTTTTTATGAAATTTAATAATAAATCTTTATTACTACATAACAAAATACGGGCATTTTCGTCGACCTTAATGTTGATCTTGATCATCAAACGGTAGCAAGCAGTGTACATGTATTATATAAGTATACGCCGTCGATTAAGATCAAGGCTTACAACTTTAATTATTTCACTGTATGATTAACATTAGAAACTCGTGAGTTTATTTCTTGAATTTCTATTTCACACGAAATTGTCACCGATCAAGATGAAGGGAGAAAACTCCTAAATATTATAATCTATACATCAATCAGTTCTCTCCCTTTTCAACGATTAGCCTAGCTTTGAATGTAAGACAAATCCATCCAAAATATAAGGTTTTTCAGTATCAAAATATAAAAATGCAGACAGCAGACGGATGTACTAGCAGACAATCTAAACTTTTCGACCCTTTCCGTCAGTCCTCGGATTATGAATAATAGCCGACTATGTTCCGATTGTTAAGCGCGGGGGGGGGGGGGGGGGGGGGGGGGGGCGGGGGGGGGGGGGGGGGGGGGGGGGGGTTAAGGATTATTCAAGTCAACGGCACCAACTTTTCACCGAGAATACCTACAACATATCAAAATTTGCAGAATTTTCCCCCGTTAGAAACTTGGAAAATAACTTTGATAATTTGTTTAAAAGATCGCGTGAAATAAATAGTGGCGGGCGAGTTCGTTTCCCGCTGTTCCGGGGCGGGTTCGATTCCTGCTGTTCCAGTTACTAGGATAAAAGATGAAATAAGAGGTGCTTTGGATCACTTTGTTTCCAGATTTTTACACCTTGCATGTAAAAGAACCAACAATTTCTGTATTCATGGTTCAATATATGACATAATAAACATTTTTTTAGAGTTTGTCATACGTATGACTATATAAATTGAGTACTCTTAAAGTTACTTGCAAAGTATGATTCGCATATAAATTATTAACGTACAGTGAAACCTCCAGAGAGCGGCCCTTTGTAAAGCAAAAAAAAACTCTTTGCTACAATAATATCAGCTATATCTGTCGAGCACTCTGAAAGTTACATGCAAAGTATGATTCGGATATAAAATTTTTTAAACTTTTACATTTAAAAAAACCCCCCCCCCTCTGGGGCCCGGCCCCTTTTGGAAAAACCCAAAAAACTTTTTAAAAACAATAAAAAAAAATTTTTCCCCAAAATTTAAAGAATTTTAAACAATAAATTTTAATTTCCCTTTCTCCCAAAAGAAAAAATAAAATTTCTTAGCCTCGCCAAAGGTGTTGCTATGTAGAAGCTGTACTGTATTTTCTTCTTTCTTTTTTTTTTAAATTTAATATTTTGAAAATATGTTTACTTTTCTGGGGGCCCATTTTTATTTTTAAAGGACAACTTTCATTCATTTAAGCTGGGAATGTAAGGACAAATTAAAAGATAAAATAGTAAAACCCAACCCCGGGCCCTTGTCGCAAAGAAGTCGCCTCCGTACAAAAAAGGGCAGGTTTTTGTTTTTTTGTTTGTTTTAAATTTTCCGGTTTTTTAAAAGCCAATCAACCTTTGAATTTGGAAATTTATTAGGCAGCGGGTTAAACCAAACCAAATTTTTCCGGGGATATTTTAAACCTGGTTCCCTTTCCAAATTTCTCTACAAATTGCAAACTTTTAAAAAGGCACTTTTTTGGGGTTGTCATTTTTAAAAAATTCCTTTTTTTAATCTTTTTTAAAAAAAAAAATGTAAAACTTTGTGTTTTTTAAAATGTTTTAAAACAATTAAAATTTATTTTGTTTTTTTAAAAAGGGTATAAAAGGCCATTTGGAAAGGGAAACACTAAAATGCGAAAGTTTTTTGTGTGAAAATGTGCGAATTTAAAACAAAGTAGAAAATTTTTTTCTTCCCAAAATTAAAAAAATTATTTAATTAAACTTAAAATTAAAAGGGCCAATTTCCCAAACAAAGAAAATAAGCAAAGTTTTTTTTCCCATCAAAATATTAAAAATTAAAGTTGGGGTTTTTTAAAATGGAAACAGTTTACAATATACCCCAAAAATATAAAGTTTTTGTAAAATTAAAATTTTTAAAAAGGGGTTTAACCCCAATCGGGCATTATGGGCCCTTTTAAACCAAAACAAGGGGGAAAAATTTCCTTGGGATTCCAAGTTAGTAAAGTTTGGAAAACAATTTTTAGGAAATTTTAAAAATTAAAAAAACCTAAATAGGGGAAGCCTTTTTTTAATTCAAAAAGGACAAAATTCCCCGCCTCATCCGATGTTCCGGAACCAGTTACCCCTTTCACTCCCTATTTAAAAAAAAGTTTAAAAGCGGGAAATTTTTGGTTTAAAATTCCCCCAATTAAAGGGGAAAACCAATTCAATTTTCTCATCAGTTTTTAAAAACCGCTATTTTTCATTGTGTACAGTTTTCTTTAAACTGTTTCATTTCAAGAGTAATTACAAATACTGCCCCAGAGAGTTGTTCTTGATCCTGGAAAAAAGTCTGATTGTCGGACACAGAGCCGCGTCGATGTACAGATTGAACCCCTAATAATAATCAGTAAGCTTTGTTCCCCTTTTTTCTTTCTTTTTTGAGGAGTGTGTGTGGGTGTTGGGGGGGGGGGGGTTTCGGTCCGCACCAAACACAGTATTAGGTGTCCATAGGGCGACTTTCAAGCTTTAACGTGTCTTTCATGGCACGGCATCTGTTCGCTCTGTGAGCCTTGAAAGTAATTTTACACAACTACCCCATGGATTATTTTATGAATGCGTCGTTCTTTCAAAAAAAAGTAAATGTTTTCATTAGACATCTACGTGTAGCCCAAAATTTCATCTCGTATATGTCGATACAGCACAACTAAAAATTAAAATAATAAATTCATTCAGGCAAAAAATTTAAAATAAATTTTAAAGAATTTAAAGATAAAAAAGGGTTTAATACTTAAAAAAACAGATGTTTATCTTTAATAAAAAGTAAAAGGCGCAAAAAAAATTTAACCCTTTGAACAAATAAATTTTTCCAAACATAATATTAAATTTGAAAAAAATTAAAAAAAGGGAGATTAATAAAAATGAAAAAGTGGAAACCAAAATTTTTAAACTTTAATTTAAATTAAAATCTTTACAATGGGAAAATTTTAACTCAGGGGGGGAATAAGCGATTTTAAACATTCAAATCAAAATTTTGTAAAAGTATTCCTCCCTAAATAAATCTTTTTAAGAAAAAAAATTAAAAAATTGGGTGTTCATTTTTTTAAAAAATATAGGGGGGGGGTTTTGAAAATTTAAATTTTGCGGGAAGAAAAAATTTTTGATATTTTTTGGGGGGTGTAAAGGTTTAAAAAGGTTTTAACCGGGTTTTACCCAAATTTTCCTAAAATCTCGTTTCTTATAAAAAATATATTTTCAAAAGGGGTGGGTATTTTTTTTTTTTATGGGGGTTCCCCCGTTTTAAAATATTTTCAATATCGAACTTGACTTTAACTGGTTGGGAACCTTTTTAAAAGGGTGACACATTTTTAGGAAACCCAAGGTTTTTCCCAAATAGTTTTTAATTTGAAAGACCCGGGGTTTCCCCAAAAACCAGAAGGGGTTTCATCATTCGGAAAAATCCTTTGGGCTAATTTTATATTTTTTTTGGGCAAACTGAGGGAAAAAGGGAAACAAAAAAGTGTTTTTATTAGACATTTTTTGGGGGGGGGGGGGGGGGTTTAAAAATTGTGATAAAAATATAGTAAAAGATGTCACTGGAAAAAGACGACATCTGTAAATGACGTCACTGAAACAGGACGTTACGCACTGTGCACGTCCCTAAGAAGCAAAATTTATCCGTTTAAAGGCACATCATGTCTCAGAAATGAATAACTATTTATTTTTTACATAGGTCAAAGATTAGTTTGATAACGTTTAAAAAATAGTTTTAGAACATGTAAAATGCTTGTTTCCTGAAGAAAGAAGCAGTAAATGTAAAATAGTGTGTGTCATAAAGGCAGCAAAATGTAAACAAAGTTGTATTTTAACTTCCATACAAAGTACTGAGTCAGTATATGTCCTTACTGGCAAAAACCAACAGAAGAAGAAGTCAGGTCAGGTAAATTGCCAATGAGTCACTTGTTTGAAACTATAAAAATGACTTTGAGAACTAAAAAAGAACGCATTTCGTGGGCATATTGGCCTTCAACAGGAAAGAACAGAACGGAAAAGGAAATATGCAAAAACATTGATCACATAAGACAGTCATGGCGTTCTGTAATGCAACAGCATTTAACGTTAACTCTTTGCAATTAAAAGATTTTAAAGAAAAGACCCACGAGAATTTTAGAATTTTAATAGTACGATGCCCTTCAGAAGCATATAATTGATTGTTTATATTTTAATAGAACAGAGCGATGAAGATATAATTGTTTCACAGAACAAATTCTGTTTGAAATGCGTTAAATGGCTGCGGTCAAAGCTGCACGTGAAGAATTTGAAGCAAATTCTTGGCGACACCGGTGAACGACGTGATCTTATATGGAATGCTTTTTTTGTGGCTCATGGTAGAAGCTGTTATTATTAACAGTTTATATCATGTGGTGTTAGTTTTATTTTGTTAAGGTTATTGTTGGCGACGCCGGTGAGCGGCGTCGTCTCTTATGGAATGCTTTTATTTTGGCCTATGGAAGGAGCTGTTATTTTTCTTTTTCATATACAGGTGTGAGCGATGCAGAAATGAAAATTATACTTTCCGAGCATAACAAATACCGCAAGGATGTAAACCCGCCTGCAACAGATATGCTGATGATGGTAAAGTTTAGACCGTGTTCTTTCTTTCTTTCTTTCCTTCGTTCTTTCTTTTTTCTTTCCTTTTCTATCTTTTCTTACTATTTTCTTTCTTTATTTCTATCTTTTTTCTTTCTTTCTTTCTTTCTTTCTTTCTTTTCTTTCTTTCTTTCTTTCTTTCTTTCTTTCTTTCTTTCTTTTTGTCTTACTTTTTTCTTTCTTTCGTTCCTTCTTTTTTTCTCTCTTTTATCTTTTATTTCTTTTTTTATCCCTTTTCTTTCTTTCTTTCGTTCTTTCTTTTTCTTTCTTTTCTTTTTGTCCGTTCTTTCTTTATATTTTTCGTTCTTTCTTTCTTTTTTTCTCTCTTTCGTTTCTTCTTTTTTCTCTTTCTTTCTTTCGTCCTTTCTTTTTTTCTCTTTCTTCTTTTTTTCTTTCTTTCTTTTCTTTTCATTCCTTTCCTTTTATTTCTTCGTTCTTTCTTTCTTTTTGTCTTACTTTTTTTCTTTCTTTCGTTCCTTCTTTTTTTCTCTCTTTTATCTTTTATTTCTTTTTTATCCCCTTTCTTTCTTTCTTTCGTTCTTTCTTTTTCTTTCTTTTACTTTTTTTTTTCGTTCTTTCTTTATATCTTTTGTTCTTTCTTTCTTTTTTTTCTCTTTTCTTTTCTTCTTTTTTCTCTTTCTTCTTTCGTCCCTTTCTTTTTTTCTTTCTTTCTCTTTCCTTTCTTCTTTTTTTCTTTTTTCTTTCTTTCTTTCTTTCCTTCTTTCTTTCATTCTTTCTTTCTATCTTATTTTTTCTTTTTCTTCTTTTCATTTCTTTCTTTATTTTAATTTTGACAATTTATATTTCATATAAAGAAGATGAAACAAAATATAGAAAAAGTCGTAAAATGCTTATTAAACATAGCGAGATTGCCCAAACCATTTGTATATTTCTTTGTATGTTTGAATCTACATTGTTTGTATGCACGGATACATACAATAACATATCAATAAAACAAAAACGGAAACAAGCGATATCGGATGTCGGAGGGCTAAATGGCTAAATGCGATGTCGAAGGCCGGGAAACGATGTCAGGGGGAGGCAAACAAACAAACAAACAAACAAAGAGCGGTGTCGGAGGGCTAACAAGTGATGTCGTGTGGCAAAAAATTATGATGTATGTCAAAAAGGGATGACGTAGAGCAAAATGCGATAGCGGAGGGCAAAATGCGATGATTTATGTAAAAAAAGCGATGGCGTAGAGCAAAGAGCGATGTCATATAACAAAAAGCGATATCGGAAGGCAGAAGTGATGATGTTAGTCAAAAAAGGATGGGGTGGAGCAAAGAGCGATGACGAATGACAAAAAAGCGATGACTTTGGGTAAAAAGACTATATCGTTGGGTAAAAAGCGATGAGGTAGTGCAAAGAGCTATACCTTAGGACAATCACCGATATACGCTGGATAAATTATTAAATAGAAACACGTTATTCTTTATATTCATTTCAGACATGGGACGCTGAGGTCGCGCTGGTGGCTCAGGCCTGGGCAGAGACCTGCTCGTTTGGCCACGATGAAACTCAAAACAGAAATATTCCAGGTATGTTTGAATGCGTTTCTACTCTTGATAAGTAAAGCTTCGTACTTTTGCAAAGGTTATTTTTATTATTATTATTTTTTAAATTATTATTATCATTATCATTATTATTATTATTATTTTTTTTTTTTTATTATTGTTATTATTATTATTACTATTTTGTTAACGATGGTGACTCCGATTGATTGATTGATTGTTTGATTGATTGTTTGATTGATGGTTTGATTGATTGATTGATTGATTGATTGATCGATCGATCGATCGATCGATCGATCGATCGATTGATTGATTGATTGATCGATTGATCGATCGATCACCATAATTATATTGTGATTAGTGCTTAAACGGCTGTTTTATACTCAGTTGCAAAAGAAAGTGTGCATTGGTTACTTGGGAATACTTGTTTGAGCACAATATTGGTAAATTTGGTATCAAAATTTGTGGAGATATAGTGACTACACAGTGTTTTTTGTGTGTTTTTTTTCTAGTCACGTGCCAATCTAGATCTGTTGTATTTATCTCGTCTGCATAACCATATACACACTTTCTTTTGCAACCGAGTATTATACAATGTACGACTTTGCAATAAACATAAAGCGTAATGTAAATCTTGTGTCAATTCCTAAACCTATTCAACAGGGCGTTTATCTGCTGGACAGAATTTCGGGAAGGGATACAAGACCTGGGAAGCCGCTATTAAAGCTTGGAATGACGAGGTAAAGGATTTCACATACAATGGGAAAAACGCTTTTCACAAGGTTGGACACTACACACAGGTAATTATAAAACTAGTCTTTCACTTAATATCGATTTTCAATTTCATTCCATTTTTTTATTCCATATACCCATTTCGCTCATTTCATTCCGCTTACTTCCATCGTTACGTTCATTTCATTTCGCCTCGTTTCAATTGGTTTACTGTTGTCCGTTTAATTTCATTTTGTTTTATTCCATTTCAGTTGATTTTATTTTCGAGTGTGAAAAGGAGGTAACTTATTTTCGCGGATGAAAGGAATGGCAATTATGAGAACATTGCAATAAGCCCATCAGATCTTTATTATGTTTACAAAAAGAATATATGGTCTGAAATAATCGTGCAATAAGACATAAAATGGAACAGCTTCATTTTGTCTGAGTTCTGAATTTCTTAATTTTAAGCACGATCGCGATATCTTGTCGTATATGTGATTTGCGTTCGAACTAACCATTGTTTTTTGCAGACATAACATGATCGAGTCACCAAACAATGAAAAGTCTAATGTCTTGACGTGTGATTGAAATGATGTGCCTACAGCTCTTTGATTATTTCTCTTATGAAATGAAACGAACAGCTGACGCAAACTTTAAATATTGTTAAATAAGGGAGAAGATATTAGTAATAGATAAAATATAGCAGAAAAAATACAGGCTTACACAGAATATGGAAAAGGTTTTTTCCACACATTTTCCTGTCATAAAATAATCAATCCCTCATTTAAAGTGTATGCATGTATGTTTTAAAAATATTTCAGTTGGTATGGGCGACGTCGAGTAAAATAGGATGCGGTATGGCGGATTGCGGAGGAACTAACTTTCATGTCTGTAATTATTCACCGGCGTAAGTTCTTTTCAAATTAATTAAATAAATACAAATTATCACAAAAAGTCACTTATGTTACATTCTGAATAACACGATGAGTATTCTTCTATTATGTTCAGTTTCTGTGTGACGTGTGGTGGCTGGTTTGTGCCATTTGTGTTTTCGCCCCGCGACCCCGCCAAACGAAAAGTCAGTAATTAAAAAGTTAAAATGGCGGGGGCGCTGAGCGAAATTTAAGAAATAAAACAGCGAGGGTGCGGAGCGAAGTTTAATAAAATAGCGTTTTCGCCCCGCGACCCCGCTAAGCGAAAAGTCGATAATTAACAAGTTGAACAATCGGGACGAAAGTTTAACATATGTCATGACGTTGATTCTGTCTGACCAGACTCTATACTGTTAGCCTGTAAAAATTTTCATCTTGATATCCCCAAAATTGATAATGGTCAGTTCCAAAAAGAAAGTTGGAGAAGTCCATTTTAAAAATTCAGCAGATTATGGATTAAAAAAATAACATTTGCATCCATTTCAGAGGAAATTTTGATATCAACAAACCGTACACATCGGGAAAGAATTGCGGTGCATGCCAAGCCAAGTGCAATAACAAACTTTGTGGTAAGTCATCTTTCTTAATATCTAGAATTATTCTTCTAAGTATCATAGTAACTATACTGGCGTTGAAGACATAATGAGCGAGGATTTTATTTAAGATTTATTTTTAAGATGCTTTAAACCGTTTGATGTAAGTCTTTACCAATAACTTGTGAGCAAAGTTTCAGATCATTCGCTCACTCCGTTTTGCTAGAATAATCATTTTTTAGAATGCAAAATGATCTAAAATTGAAGAGCGTGCAAACGATTTTTTAATAAAAATCAGACTGAAAATGCACTTATCATTAATTTTCAATTTAATTCTGTGAATATATTTCTTTATTATCTTTTCTCATACTTTTGTGGTTTAATTGCCTGAGTCGACCTATGTTAGATACATTGTATTGCAATTTTATGCTTGTATAGATGTCTGAATATCAGTGATGTCCTTTTAAGTGTTATAAAGTCAAAATATACGTATGTCTTAAATGACTTTGATTCCGTACCTTAATTATATATGCACTAGACAAAAAAATATTGTTTATGTTTGCGAATAAATAAAAGTTTAAGTTATTTACTGATAAATTGAGTCGCGAATTCATGCCAAGTAGAAGAAAACATGTAAAATTTATTTACATATTTTGACCTTTTTGAGGGGTGTAAGTTATGTAGATTATAAGTAACATAGATGGCAATGTGCAAATTACTTTCTTTGTTCACTAAAAACTTCACGTCATATAGTTTTCTTTTGGACACATTTTCAATCTTTTCATGAAAATTTATTGAAACTGGAGGCATGCTGCTTTAACATCTAACCTGATATAAACATTATTTAACACATATTCGACTCATCAAGAAAATTGAAAAAAAAATGAGACATAATAGACTTTTAATGTTTGACGGTACGTAAAATGTATGCTGTATTTGCCCTATGCATAAAACATGCCTATCAAATGATAATAATTATAGTATAATTCTTACAGATTGCGGAAAAAAGGTTTGTGAGAATGGCGGAGTCCTTGATACAAACACGTGCAATTGCAAGTGTAAACAATCTTTTCATATTGGAGATATTTGTCAACGTATGTATTCAAAACTAGTTATCTTTGGAGATTTGCCTGTTACTAAAAATACATGTACTTAAAACGTTATAGATTTCTGATTTTATGCTAAACTTACGCGTTTCTTTGAATCTTTATTATCGGTGATATATTATGAACAGTGAAAAATGGATCTAATATGTGGACGCTTATTAATTCCCACAAAACACTTCCAAAATTCATTGAAGATGACATAAGGATATACTCTATATTTATTCTTTCATGCACTAACGAACAAAAAAAAATGACAGAAAAGATTACACTAAACAGGGACTAGTTACGACATAACCTCGTATGAATACATTATACAATCTCATCACAGTGATTTGATTGGTCATGTGCAGGCAAAATCAAGGGGGACCACTGCGTAGGAATTTGAATATGTTAATAAGCGTCTAATACCGGTTTCAGGCTTACCGTTCGCAAAGGGTTCCAGGCTCCTTCTTTTCCTATATCTGTTTTAGCAGGACCACGATCAGGGGCGTTTATAAGGAATAACTTTCGTCAAAATTATAATACGTGTTTTGTACTATGATCATAGCAAACTTTGTACTGAAAATCATGTTTGAAGAAGTGGTTACCTTTTGGAGCCAGATCCCCTTTAATCCATATCATATCCGTTACATAGATTTGTCTGTTTCACATAAAAATGCACGATTCTGGTTAAGTTCTTAATTCGGTGAATGAAAATTTTCACTATTTTCTACGTTAAGTTTAATAATCGAGTAAGACTAGTGGAATGGTCACTTTATTGAGATTTGACCATAAAATTTATGGCACACTTAAAATACGATAAACAACCTTGTATTAAACCAATAAGAGGGCGTTTGTGGAACATGAAATAAAATATTCAAATAAAGTTCGAATAGATATTTTCAAGACTACATGTACATGTAAGAAGCTGTTTATTTTTTGGAGAACGCACAAATGCATGCGTGCGCATCACTCATCATTCTACATCACGTGATCTCATCACGTGCACAGAGAACACACATATCCACATTTAACCTAAGAAATATTATACTAGTATATAATAATACACTTGCCTGTGGAGCTCGTGTTATTCTCCTATTTTCTGTCACTTTCTTCCACGTGGGAGATTAACTTTATTCAAATATATATCATAGTCGTTAGTCCTGTTGGTCATTTTCACTTTATGTGTGCATGTGCAAGTTATTAAATTACAGTCTTCAATATGTTTCAGTTGATTGTCGGAACGTTACAGAACCTTACCAGTGCGGAACCGGTTCCTATGACGCAAATGGATGTGTGACTTACAGCACAACCGTTCCATTCGACTGTCCGAAAACGTGTCATGTTTGTCCGAGTTAGTATTTATATTTATATCCTGTTCCACAAAGGATAAACAATGATTTCAAGCCCGATGTAGCTTTATGTTCTTTAAACACGACTATAACGCGTTGAATTCGCTCTGCTTTAAGGTTCCTATCGCACTAAAATTGTGAAGGTCTTATGGCGACTTTCAGCTTTACTGGTAGAGGAAGATCTTAGGCCCCTCTCCTTGCGTCCTTTCAGGCATGAATAGGCACCTGAGTAAAACCACTGACGTTCCGTGAGCTAGCTGGATAGCTTCTTCACAGTCTCTGCCGGGGGTTTGAACCCACAGCGGTTAGGAGCATGTGGTGTGAAGTCAACGACTTAAACCACTAAGCCACGGACGTAGGAGTTTGCTTAGATTTTATTAATTCACTAAATTGATAGTTCAATATACAAAGATGCAACAGTGTATGGCTGGATTAGAAAAAAAAAACAGCAAAAAATTGAGCTGCAAAAATGCGGCTACTTGTAAAGTCTTAAATTGTGCAAGGAAATCAAAAGAACTAAAGTTAAAAAAGGTATAAAATAAGAGTAAAATGAAAGGAGATTGAATTGAATTTAATTGAATGTCTTTAGACCGGGCGGTCAAGGATAACCTACGAAAGTGCAAGCACTTATTGTCAGTAGGGTCCTTACCTCAGCAGACTCCATAGACAGTTATGATATACAAGGGAATCCGGGAACCAGTCCCTAGCTCTTAATGAGATAGGTGTGTAGGAATACAAATACATTGAATTGTACATTGAATTGTTCTTAATGTGAATAACTACTAAAAATATGTACTAATATTTGATTTTTTTTCACAACAAGGAATGCAACTGTTACGAGAAACTTAAATGGCTTTAGCCGACATTTCCATTTTGATTTTACTTTAAGTACTCGTATTTTGCATTATGGAATTTCATCATGAAACGATAACGTAGGTCTTGTTTAATGGGCATTAGCCCACAGGGGAAGTAACTTTTGTTAGATCGTATCCATATTAACTACAGTTATCCCTCCTTTTTATACTTAAACTTTGAGAAATATTTAGATGTCTTATGTTCCGAAACAAGGATGATGATGATGATGGGGATGATGAATCTGATGATGATGGTGATGATGATGGTGGTGATTGATGATGGTGATGATGATGATGATGATAATGATGATGATGTATTATTGTTGTAACAATTATAATATGAAGAAAAGAAAATGATAAAGTGAATGAATGAATGAATGAATGAATGAATGAATGAATGAATGAATGAATGAATGAAGGAACGAACGAACGAACGAACGAATAAATGGATTCCGCAATAACCCCATTTCAATGTATTTTTTCAGCTGGTGGATATAACTACACCGAGGGCACATATGTGTTCGGAAACAATGGCGGAATGCTGAACACTTCAAGCTACCAACTTCACCTCGCTGCATTATTTGTGCTTGGACTCTATCTTAGAAAATACAGTCTACAATTCTAATTTAAATGGATTTTATTTTTCATTTAAAAACAAACAACAACAATAATTTTGTTTAATTAATTGATCGGACTTTTGTCATTTTTAAATTCATTTCACATTGTTTCTTACTTTAAGTATTCATTTTAAACCCTAAACCCGCTAAAGATCTTAATGGACTCGTCAATTTTTCATTCTTGACAAGGCCATTCATCATTTTCAGGGATATTTCAAATATATACTGACGAAATAGCGAACAGTGCAGGCCAGGATCAGGCGGGACTAGGGGTTAAATCAGTGCATGAATTAAACAGTTAAACAGAGCAAATAGCCGAGTAAAATATTGTCAAGTGTAGAAACAAAAGTGTTTATAATTATAGTGACACGTGTTACAATATGCAATATGAATATATTTCTTACAAAATAAATTAATGAATCAACACCCGGCTCTATGGGCCTATAAATCACCTTAAAAATTAAAATATGCATCTGTATAGTTGTTGTTATTTGTTTGTTTGTTTGTGTGTTGTTTTGGTTTTTTTTTTAATTTTTTTTATTGTTTTTCATTTATTTTTTTTTTTTTTTTTTTTTTTCTTTTTTTTAATAAAACATCAAATGCTAGGGCTATAACTGATCCAGTTAAAAACAGGGTAGAATTTTCATGTTTTGTTATACTGTGCAAATTACAATCAAAATTTTACCTGGATTTTGAAAAGTTATACGTGTCTTAAAGACACATTATGCCTCGGAAACGAATAATTTTTCCCTTGTTTAAAAAGAACAATGAGCTTTGAAATGTTTAAACAATGGTTTTAGAACATATAAGATGTTTATTACCTTAGGAAAGAAGGCCTGAATGTAAAAGTATTTGTCATTAAAGTAGCGGACTGTAAACAAAAAAGTATTTTGACAACCATGCAAAATACTAAATTTCTATAACTGCACTAATTCGCGGAAGGCAACAGAAACAAAATTTTATGCAGGTTATTACCCAGTGAGTAACAACAGGACACCAAAATTAAAAAGCTTTTGAGGAATAAAAAATGCAATCCTGAGTCATAATGGGCCTTTAAGCTAAAGATATATTTTGTTATTCAAACGAGTTGGTCTGTTATGGAAGGAACTCTATAGTGAAATCAATTATTATTTTGATAGTACATGTACTAGTATTTAGTTTCAGACATAAAACAAACTACGAAAGAATATATATGGATGCTGCTGGCAAGTGCAAGATACATGATTCCATATAACATAATAATATTTATATAGCAGACAAAAATATATCCTTGAACAATATACATGTATTATTAATAATCTTATAATATTGTGAGTTTGTAACGTCGCTTTTCATTGGCCAACCGTGACTGTATAGTTTTATATACACGGCAGCTGTCAATTCATGAAGAAATCTCACTTCTTGCAGCATTATTAGTTCGAGACAAGTTATATGGCCGTATATAAACTGTTGTTTGCAATATAACCCTCGCCTGGCGGCTCGGTCTATATTTACGAACAACCGTTTATATAGGGCCATATAACCTGTCAAAAATCTTTATATCTATACTAAATAACAAAATATTTTTATAATTGGTCATATAAATCTACAGTCTTGCATATCAGACTGGCGCTTCCGTTAGTTTTACCCATGCCTCAAAATTCATCTGGCAAGATTAAACAGAAGCGATGTGTGCGTTTTTATTTGTCTCGTGCGCAAAAGAAACTAAGTCGTGTGCACGAGTTACTAAGTGGTGCGCATGAGATAATTAATTGGTGCGTACTTGATAATATCTTGTGCGAACAAGATAATTAAGTGGTGCGCACGAGTAACTAAGTGGTGCGCACGAGTTACTAAGTAGTGCGCACGAGATAATTAAGTGGTGCGCACGACATAATTAACCAATCAGATGACACTTTATATATGAATTTTCTTAGTTAACTAGAAATGTTCCGTAGAACAATAATGCCCCTAATTCACCTGACTGTCACAATTGCATATACACAGTTGAAAAAAATCACTTTAACATTGACCTTTGATCATTTTACCTCATAATCAGTAGTGGTCATCTACTTGCTTTGACCAATATTCCTAACAGGTAACAATGGCTTATTCATTTTCGAGTGATTGATTCGTCATGGATTTTACATTACATGACTCTGTGACCTTTACCTTTGACCTAATGACATTGAAATCAATATGGTTTTCTACAGGCCACTAAGATACTAAGGGCAATGTCTCTATCAAGTAACTAAACGCATGGCTTATTCCTTCTCAAGTTATTGATTGGACAATGATTTTACCTTAATCGTCATTGTGACACTGATTTTTGACCCAATGACCTCATAATCATTAAGTGCCATCTACTGATCAGGTGAAATGTCTATACTAGGTGATAAAAAATCATGGCTTATTCTATCTCAAGTTATTCATCATTAGACAAGGATTTTACATGAAGCGTCATGGTTACCTTAAACTTTGACCTTATGACCTCAAGCATCGATAGAGATCATCTACTGGCCATGGGCTATGTCCCTACCAAATGAAATAAACAAGGGCTTATTCCTTCTCCAGTTATCGTAAGACCGTCAGTACGTACGTACTGACTAACCCTATCACAGGATGGTCCCCATAAAGGACCATAATTTAGTCAACATTAATGTCTGATTTATGGACCTTTCATAGTGACCTCTTATATGATCTTAACGACCTGTATAAAGTTTCGAGTGAATACCTTCAGTAGTTTCAAAGATTGAAGTTCATATATATATAGTAGAATCTAATTAGTTATTTATCTCGTGCGCAATACTTCATCATCTCGTTCGCACCCACATAGTAACTCGTGAACACGGCTTAATTATCTCGTGTACACGACACAGTAACTCCTGCGCAGGACTCGTAACTCGTGCGCACGACATAGTATCTCGTGCCCATGACTTAATTATCTCGTACACACGACTTAATAACTCGTATATATAAATAAACGAGATACACGAGATAAATAAAAAAAAACACACACGTGTCACCCCTGTGCCACCGTGCATTCTAGATCACTTTTCAGCAGCTTTTTATAGGAAAATCCAAATGATACATTTTTTTCCATAGTAATTGTAAACAATCAATAGGTGGTGACAGGATAACGATATACTCGAGTCGATAATATGCCGTGTTTTCCCTTATGTCTTTTTTCACCCCTTACCGGCCTTGTCGTATTTTTTCAGTGTGAAATTATTTTATTTTATGAGTTTTATTATCATTTTTAAGCGATCATTAAGTATATCAACATGACAGCCAGGGTTATATTTATGCAGACGACAGTCAATTTATTTTAGAGAACGCCGCAAAAAATATAACAAACAAACGATCACAGAAAGACCCGTTCTACTGAACTTTTTTTCTGTTTTGAAAGATTATGTATTGAGAGAAACATGTTTTTGCCAAAGTAAACGAATGATAAATTAATTTGGTTGACTCTATAAAAAAATTATATGCTACGAGAAAAAAAATCTGGTAATACCTCGATCGCAACTACTCGGTACTTTCCGTCAAACTTCGGATTATGAATCGTCGAGGTAGTTCGAATGGTTATAGTACACGACGTTGAGAAGGCACGGGGCATCGGCAGATGATTTAAGATCCAATGCAACGTGTAAGACGGCAAGTTCGCATACTCTCTACGTTTTAGTTTGTATGAAGTCAGCTGCCATAACTCCATCATAATTCATTGAACCATAAAAAGCCGATGATATGCACAACTAGACTTGGTACTGATCATTCCTGTACTGTAAAGTTTTGATGAAATTGCGACAGTAAATTTTGAGAAATAGTCCGGACAAGCTTTTGTGTATCTGGCAACACACAAGAAAAAACAACTTTTTCATTAAAGGGCCATAACTCGGCCAAAAATTATTCGTCCGAAAAACCTGTGTAATATGCGCAATGACTTGAGCTGCAAATCAATTCTGTAATGTTTCATTCAAATTGCATTAGTGGTATTGGAGTAGTCCGAACAAACTTTAAAAATTATTAAAGGGTCATAACACGGACAAAAATCATTGAACCGGAAAATGCTTACGACATGCACAACTAGACTTGATACTGACCATTTCTGTAAAGTTTGGATGAAATTGCACCAGTAGTTTATAAGGAGAAGCACGGACAAGTGTTGTGACGGACGGACAGACAAACGGACGGACAGACAGACGACGGACAAGTGATCCCTGTATGTCGCCACTACTCCGTAAAGGCGACACAAAAAGCAAGACTTTATTTATAATATATATATAGTAATATATAAGATGCTAAGCATGTGGAAGCAAGCAGCGTTGAATATGAAATTGTTTGTCATAAAATTAGTAAAACGTCATCAAAGTGTTATTTTGTCCTCTGTACTATAATGATATATTTTGTTGTTGTTTTTTTATCTTTTAGAAAAATAAAAGCAATAACAATTATTTGGTGTTCAAGCAGCATGCCTCCAGATTCATGCTATTTTTCATGAAAAATTTGGAAATTTGTTTAACTGAATAATATCGTCAAGAAACCCAAAAAAGAAGCAATTTACACATTATCACTGGCACTTAAAGGGAGACACAGGCAAAATTTTCATTTCTTAGTATAGAGTTTTTCAGTCATTATTCTGTAAATGCCCTCAAAATGAATATATTAGACAGTCAAAGGAACAAAACTTTTCATATAAAGAATAAAATTGTGGTCTCCTAACTTGACCCGCGTGGGTTAGGTTAGAGCGCTAGGATTTCACAATAATTGCCAAAGTGAACTCTGGAAACGTTAAAGAACATGTCAAATGAATGACTTAGACTTGATTCAATCATACAATATCCATAATATCTGTTATTGTAACTTCAAGGGTTTGAATAAGTCATGTGACTTGTTTTAAAACTATTGGTGATTCTATTCGGGTCTAAATTTTGTTCAACATATAATATTTACGCTTCAAACCCAAAATATTTAGAATTTAAACAGAAATTCATGCTGAAACTTCAAGAAATGTCATTTTAGCGTGATTTGAGTACATAAGATCATTTAATATTTTTGTCATTATTTTGTCTGAATATCCCTTTAAAGCCCATGTAAATTAACAAAAAAAAAAGAGAGAAAATATGCTAAAATAGCCCCTAATGCGTTAGCATTAGAAATTTAGTTACAAATACTGAAAAATCAGCCATTCATTGCACTAAACATGTTAATAATTACTTGAATCTGGAATATTTTTACTTTTCCTAAAATCTAAGTACATTTTCTCAAGTTTGATTTTATTGAAATATTTCGACTGCTATGGAGGCATGTAGTTTTAAGGAAGTTTATTATTGTCAACCGAACAAAGAAAGTAATTTTCAAATTGCAAACAATGTTTACAAATTTTGAAAATTCCCGAAGAATAGGTCAGAATATGCAGAAATAGTCCATACTGTGTTAGTCACGCAGTAGAAATTTGGAAAGAAATACTACAAATTTTAAAAATATCACCAAAAATAGATCATAATAGCCAAAAATAGGACATACTGTGTTGGTAACGCAGTAGAAATATGGTACGAAATACCGCAAAATCAGTCAATATATCATAATTATATCATGCAAATGTTTCCTTGAATTGTAAATATTTTCTACTTTTCTTAAAATCTTAATACATTTTGCTGAATGTTGATTTTCTTAAAATATTTTCACTCACCTTTGAGACATATGCACATTTCATGTGCAATGCAATAATTAGTGCTCCATGATTAAACAGTAAAGATTTTTATGCACATGTGATGAACGGATGCTTACCTTTTCAAGACTTTTCCATTATTTATCTGATTCTAATTTCACCACAAGAACATCAACAAAAAGCTATTGAAAATTTCATTTTACATCTCCATGTTTTAAATGACAAAAGATGAGGTGTTCCGAATGACATTTTTTCAATGTACGACGTCGCAGGCTTTACTGAACACCATTATATGTCTAGCGTCTACAAACTGATCATAGAAAGTAAATATGTGCATTTTGTACAGATTAGCAGTGATATTAGTGTAGTATGTTTGTTTAATGAATAACTATCTAAATAGATACATGAAAATGGCCGGTCGTTACATCATACAGGTATTCTAAACTCGCTAATCATAAATGTAAATTAGATTTTAGAGACTATAGATGGTCTCTTTTCGATATCATCAAAGGTTATCTGGGTGAGCAATAAAACAGTTTACAATGTACATAAAATCGTTGTTACCATTTCGTGAAAAGACACGAAAAGTGGACGCTCCGCCGCTTTACAACGAATAGAGACCAAAATACTATGCTGTCACTTGTAACCAATTTCCCACCCCTAGTCTACGGAATGCCGTTAGGGCCATCGCCTATGAATGTGTTGATCTGAAACGCGATAGTCGATAGTACGATGGTGAAAACGCGAAATCACGAAACTACGATGGTGAAAACGCGAAAGCACGATGATGAAAACGCGATAGTACGATGATGAAATCGCGACAGTACGATACAACGATGATGAAAACGCGATAAACTATCGTGTTTTCACCATCGTACTGTTGCGTTTTCACCATCGTAGTTTCGTGATTTCGTGTTTTCATCATCGTACTGTCGAGTATCGCGTTTCATATCAAACCATTCATAGGCGATGGCCCTAACGGCATTCCGGAATGCCGTTAGGGCCATCGCCTATGAATGTGTTAATCTGAAACGCGATAGTCGATAGTACGATGGTGAAAACACGAAATCACGAAACTACGATGGTGAAAACGTTGATAGTACGATGATGAAAACGCGAAAGTACGATGATGAAATCACGACAGTACGATGGTGAAAACGCGATAGTACGATGATGAAAACACGACAGTACGATGATGAAAAACGCGATAGTACGATGGTGAAAACGCGATAGTACGATGGTGAAAACGCGATAGTACGATGATGAAAACACGACAGTACGATGATGAAAACGCGAAATCACGATGGTGAAAACGCGACAGTACGATGGTGAAAACACGATAGTTTATCGCGCTTTCATCATCGTAGTATCGTACAATCGCGTTTTCATCATCGTACTTTCGCGTTTTCATCATCGTGCTTTCGCATTTTCACCATCGTAGTTTCGTGATTTCGCGTTTTCACCATCGTACTATCGACTATCGCGTTTCAGATCAACACATTCATAGGCAATGGCCCTAACGGCATTCCGTACTAGTCTGGCGGACATAGCAGGAAAAATTAACAGTGTGTTTGACTTCTAACTGTCCCCGCATTGCCATGTCAATGCAGTTTGTTTTTTACTTTCGCGCCAAGAAAAAATACCCGCCGTGCACATTGCATAATTCAAGTGCGGCGGAGGAATGAGCGGGATTTTTATATATATTATTACCATATGACTGTTCAGCACAAGGCAATGATTTTGATCAACAGTTTTGGTGATCCTTCAGTCAAAGTCTGCTCTTTTCGTCAAAACTATGGTGGCTGATTTTTGCCATTCTTGATTTTGCCCCGCGACCCCGCCAAACCAAAAGTCGACAATTAACAAGTAAAAATGGCGAGTCGCGGGGAGAAGACAAGAATGTCACAAATCGGCCACCATACAAAACACTAAACAGATCGATTGTATAAGGTTAGATAATGACATATTTATTTATGAAAAGATAACTAGCCGGAACTATTTCTACATTGTTATTTTTGTAATTACGATGTATTTTGAATATTTAAAAAAAACGTTCCGAATGTTTGTTATGTTGATTCCGTTTGTCAGCGCTCTTTTCAGATGTTTTAAAGGGGCTTCACGGAGATTTTTTTATATGACAAAAGCTAATTTTTCGAGATCTTTTTACCTTTTGAGGTGGGTTCATAACCTCAGATCCCCTTTCAAAATTCCATTTTATTTAGTTCCGCCCATTGTTTTCTCGTTTAGGACACACGCATTCTTTTACTTGGGGACCATACGCCGCTTTTCATGAAATGGCACTACTGTGTCACATTGAAGGTTCCATGGTAATCGCCGTATGAACACATCTGCGGATGTCTCTAAATTCAAATTTTCACCATTTTACGTGTTTAAATATTGAATTCTGCTTAAGCCGGTGCTAGGGGACGTGGATGGTAACTTTCACTTTCCAGTACCTTCAATGAACAGGCTCAATCAAACCGAGCCTGCAACATTTTCAATCTTGTCGTGTTGGGCTTTCTTTAGGGATTCTGTATTTCTCTATTTTATAGCAATAACCTGTGTGCAAAATTTAATTTCATTACCTCACTCCGTTTTTACGAGAATAATCATAATTATTGTGTAAAATTAGCTAAAATTAAAATAGTTTAAACTCTTCTAGTTCAAATTGGGCTAAGATTCGGACTTACTATCGATTTTCAACTTAATGCTGGGCATACTTTATTATCATCTTTTCGCATATTTTTCAGTTTTAAGTGCCCAAGTTGATCTAAGTAAAATTTTAAGATTTTATATTTTTAAGATTTTGGACCTTTGTAATTTCTCACAAAGTTGTGCCCCTTTAATGCCCTTTTTTCAGCCGGGCGATTCCTCACCAACTTCTGACTTGAATTCATCAACATTTACTAGGAATCTTCACTACAAGGAGATGCGAAAATCAGCAGATTTTTCTGGTTCATTATACATACTATATAATATATTTAAATATAAAAAAATTGGAGCTTTTCTGATCCATGTGCATATTGTTTAATATATTCAAATATAGTAAATTTGGTGCTTTTCTGGTCCATTACACAGACACTTGGGGTTTGGAGCTCAAAACGCCTTTAAAATCCAAATAAAATGCATATTTGTCAATCCCAGCACATGTACTGATCATATATATCAAAAAAACTTAATATAAGCCGTTTTGAAAAAAAATCATATTTCAACATCTATAATAATTATAGATGTTGAAATATACATCAAGTAGTCAGCACATTTTTGCAAATTTTGATATCAAATGTGCCAATATTAATGCTAAGTATTCACATTTTTCTTTAACCAAGTACATCACTTATTTTTGCAGCTCAACATATTTTCTTTCTAAAATTCGTTATAATTTAGGTATAAATTCAAGTAGGTAAATAAAAAGTTTTTCTCAAAAAAAAGGAAGAAAACAAAGAAAAATAAGAAAAAAAGAAAAAAAGAGACAAAGTGTCTGGAAAAGCTTTGCACATTTTACTAGTGCACGCTTGCACGTGCTGCCATCTTTCATTATTGCAAGCATATTTTCATACTCAACAAATACTCGCGTTTTTTGTGTAGTAGTTGATTTGTGCTATGACGTATTTTAGCTCCGCTGGTGGCCACAGGCGATATAACACGAAAACATGACAAAGTCACATCGTAACTTGACGTGGCACAACTCAGCCACCATAGGTTTTAACTGTGAATAGTCAAGTCAGGATGTCAGTGATATGATACACAACTTATTTATATAATCTCATATAATCCCGATAATCTGTAGAAATAACAACAACAGATACATAGTGGATAATCTACAAATTTACTTCATAATTTCTAAAAGTGAAAATTTATTACAAATTTTAAATTTTAAAGATTCTGACATGTAATTGCCGATCTATTTTCAAATGAATTATTCCAGATGGAATTAAGTGCCGTTTAAAACATACTATTTAAAATGTTGTGAGCACGATCTTTTTTCAAATGAATTATTCCAGGTGGAATAAAGTGTCAGTATTTGATAAGTTTAAAACATACTATTTAAAATGATGTGAGCACGATTTAAGCACGTGCCCTTCGTGTTGGAAGCGCAACATGGCCTCGGCTCAAACTGGAAATTCGACGACGACGACAACAACAACAACAGCTAACGTTTCAGGGTATTGAAAACAATTCCTCTAATTATAGAATAATATATTGTCACGCAAAATATTTTGAATTACGTCTTACAAACGCAAAATTCATAAAAAACAAATCTCGTGGCGTAAATTAAATCTCAGATAACTTAATTATTAAAATGAGAAAGTTTTTCTACCCCCCCCCCCCCAAAAAAAAAAAAAAAAAAAAAAAAAACGTTTTAGATGTAAGTTTCTAAAATATGATTTTTTTTATATATAAAACTTTAGTTTAAGCACGGGTTTACATTACAGTAATTAAGATCCGTGGTCAAGCGCTTGTCCTTAAAATTAATTTAGCCCCGTGATCATATACACTCCATAATCACCGTCAATTTTATTACTTTAACTTTACAGAATTGCAAATATACAGGCCTTGCTTATTTTCGGATGCTGGTATTCGGCACGCGCTTTTGCGGTACTTTGAAGTCGAACATCAAAGACTTTCGAAATAACCAATCGCTGATCAGTTTCTCTCGAGATAATTTGCATATCAAAGTCCGCGCGCTTTCATTAGCGAATTGCGCATGCGTTAGTACTACGACACAATTGTAGACGTCTGCTATGTTGACACAAAATGATAGCGAGTGTAGATTGATAAAAGATTTTTAACAAAGTTAGACATAATTTAGCTTAAATATGGATTCAAATGGCGTGCTGGGGGCTCCGAATGAAAGGGCATTATTGAATTTGATGGAAAAAACAGGATACACAATGATTCAAGAAAATGGACAGAGAAAATACGGTGGACCTCCCCCAGATTGGGACGGACCACAGCCAGGAAGAGGATGTGAAATTTTCGTTGGAAAAATACCAAGAGATTGTTTTGAAGATGAACTAGTACCAGCGTTTGAAAAGATTGGTAAAATATATGAATTTCGTTTAATGATGGACTTTAGTGGAAGCAACAGAGGTTATGCGTTTGTCATGTACACAAACAAAAATGACGCTATCCAAGCTGTAAGATTAATGAACAACTATGAAATCAGAAAAGGACGTTTACTTGGAGTATGCCCTAGTGTTGATAACTGTCGTTTATTTGTAGGAGGTATCCCTAAAAATAAGAATAAAGATGAAATAATGACAGAGATGACAAAAGTTACAGACGGTGTCACAGATGTTATTGTGTATCCATCAGCCATGGACAAAAGCAAAAACAGGGGCTTTGCATTTGTAGAGTACGAAAGTCACAGAGCTGCAGCGATGGCCAGAAGAAAACTTATACCTGGCAGGATCCAGCTGTGGGGCCATCAGATTGCTGTTGACTGGGCGGAACCCGAGCAAGAAGTTGATGATGATGTCATGAGTAAGGTATAAAATCTAGAGTGAAAATTGTGTAAAACAGTCCCCTTTATATTATATGGGATTAATTTGAAACAGTGGCTAAAAGTCTGAAAATGCTATCCAGCTAGCTTAAACAGGCTGTCGGTGGTTCTACTCCGATGCCCACTCCCAGATCTACCTGAACTTCTAATGTACAGGTATGCAGTGCCCACAGTCTGACTATCATAGCTTCTGCAGCAGCAACTGCCAGCTAATTATGCCAGATCATGATGAATGAAAGAAAATTTGGATTTCTTCACTGAACTTAAATTTTCAATGGTTAATTTATAGTTACTGTATGTAGACTGAAAATTTAAGATATTTAGCAACTGTAGTCTAATTTTTTTGATCATACATTTTTTAATCATACATAGTCCATTACAAGAGATGCTCACTAAGGTGGTTAGGTATATACCATATTTTTAAAGAAGACTTCAATTTGTATGTTTTGTTCAGCTAGAATTAATTGTCTGTTGTTATGCCCTACATTTTACATTAAATTCACTTGTGCTCATAATGATCTGGTGCATACATGTGTCCTGTGAAAAAAAATATGTGAAGCATTTAGTGATCTGTCTATCATAATTATTATATACATGTATTAAAATCTATATATGAGTTTTTTATCTGTCGGTACATATTTGATACATTGTCAGTGGTGAATTTCAATCACAATTTGTTATCTTCAAAACTTCAAAATGTTATACAACTTAAAATAAAATTGTGTCAAATTTTATGCTGATAAGCTGTGGATATTGAACAAGAGCAGTAAAATTTATATTTGAAATATCCAAAGATAACTGGGATTGAGATGATACTGGATGGTAATAATAGATAAACAATGATGTAAAATAGAATCGCTGGGTCACTACACCTTTTAGGTGTTACACATTTTATGAACATCTCTTATCTTATTTACTTTAGCTGATCGTAATATTGACAAGGGGACTTATCGTAAATAGGTACATCGAGGGCTCGGCGCAAGACTATTCTAACTTGTATTTTGAAAAATTTTCAGGAAAGGGAAAAAATATGTTATTTATTTTGATTTCATTTTTTGAAAAAAAATTCACAACCAATCTTATCAAAAAATAGCAGTAAGTTGTGTACATGTTCATTTTTTCAAGAAAAGTGTAAAATATGCATTTTATTGCCTACATGCTAAGATAGCCTAGTATTGCACTAGAAAAGCTACTTTTTCCAGAATATTTTATTGTGCAAAACTATTCTATCTTGAGTTAGAATACTTTAACACTATAAAATATGTCCCTTTGATTTTAAATCTTGTGGCAAAACTATTCTATCTTTAAGATAGATTACTTTTGCAATAACTTGAAAGTTAAGAATATCTTTTATCTATCAAGTTAGAATATATGTTTACTTTTTTTGAAAGTAAAATTAATTTCTTTAATCATATTTTTTAAGGGATATTTGAGGGTTTCGGGCTGTTCTAAGACCATAATATATAACTATAATTTGATATTGTTACATATTTGCATAATTATAAGTAATTTATACCCTACTAAATATAATATAAAAATGTAGTAGGTACAAGTGATAGCACCCTTGACTTATTATCTCATACAAACACACAAATCAGGTAATAATTTTCATTCTAGTCATATCTTTTGTGTTTATACAAATTCTTAAAAGTGAAATCTGCAGATTCTTAATATTAATCCCCATGTTGAGGCAAAAGCCCTTGTTGCAAGTTTTTTATATGCATGACTCGGGGCACCATGTAAAATTAACTGAATGCAATGAGGCAAAAAAATAAAATTATGAACATATGGTACTTTGTGCTAGAAAGCATTGCATGCATGCTTGGGCTGTGAATGCATCCTTGTTGATGCACAATTAAAAGACTGCTTTAACCCTCTATTATAGGAATTTTACTATCCTTTAAAGCTGCATGCCTCCAGATTTATGCTAATTTTCATGAAAAATTTGAAAATGTATTATAAAGTAAAACATTGTGAAGTGAAAAAAGAAAATTGTAAACAGTACTTACAACCCGTGTTAATTACCAAAAAGAGGTCAAAATATGTTAAAATAGCCCTTACTGCATTAGTAATGCAATAGAACTAAGGTTGAAAAATACTGCAAAATCGGTCATAATTCGCACATAACATGGAAATTATAACTTTTATCTTGAATCTTTATACTTTTCTTAAAATCTGAATACTTTTGTTTGGTTTGGCTTTATTGAAATATTTTGGTTCATCTGCAGGCATGCAGCTTTAAGTCTCTTATTATTTTTAATTTAAATAGGTACTGGTAAAAAATACATGATGTTTTACTAACACATTAGACATTTTGCAAATTTAAAAGATATATCATAATATCATTAATTCAATTTATAGAAAAATTGTTTTGTGACTATAAATTAACAAATATATTATGATCTTGCATGAAAAAAAATAAATTTCTATTCATTCCATCCTTTTTTATCGGTTTAAATCTTTTTTTCCTGACTTTTGCCAAATAACGACATGCGCTCTCATTAATGATGTCATGATGTCGGAAGACGGACAAAACCCCACCAGTTAAAACCCCACCACTCAAAATTTTATAGAGTGGACAAAACCCCACCACTTAATTTTATAGAGTGGACAAAACCCCACCACTAAATTTCATTGAGTGGACAAAACCCCACCACTTATTGGGCAAGATTTGATGAATTATAATATATATAATACACACATATTTTTCACATTCTATTTTTTAATTTCAATATATCATTTGTGTAATATAAGAATGAACAATTTAATTAACAATGCATGTACATCTTGCATGTGCAATATGCAAAAAAGGTGTTACAAACTGTACACAAAAAACTTAATCCTAAATCCCTGAAGAACAGAACAGATTATTTATTGATGTTTTGATTCAGAAAAAGGTGTTACAAACTGTAACTCCTTATTGATGAGTTGTTCACACATTATTTAGAGTTTCTGCTGATGCACAATTGTTTGTTTTTAACATGTTTACAAGAAAGTTTAGTCCACTCTATAAAACTGATGTGGTGGGGTTTTGTCCACTCTGTAAAATTTAGTGGTGGGGTTTTGTCCACTCTATAAAATGTAGTGGTGGGGTTTTGTCCACTCTATAAAATTTTGAGTGGTGGGGTTTTAACTGGTGGGGTTTTGTCCTACATTCCATGATGTCACATAGTTCTTGTTGAAAAATAATCCTGTCACCTTTTACGAAATTATGATACATTTTTGAATTGATATGACTATGTAGATAACTAGATATTTATGTGTCTTTGCATGTAAGGTCAAATAAGATTTCATTTAATTTATTTGTGAACACCAGCAGTGTTATATTTTCACTTGTGGCTGTGTCAAAATATTGCATTGGGTGTTCATTTTATAATAGGTTTCAATCTTATCTTCTAATATACTAAACCCCACTTTAAAATGACTGAAATATTTTATCTAAGGAAACATTTTATTCTTTTAACATTTGTACTGGTAATTTATGTATATATTTTCAATAAATGATAGACACTATTGAAACATATAATAAAATACCCATATCTTGACCAAAATACACTGTTTCAAATTATTTGTGTGTGTGTGTGTATGGACAATCACAACAAATAGGTAACAAGGCAAATTACCTCAGTGATGAAACAGAAATCATTCACATCCATATGGTGTATGTTTTGAGTCCCCTTGTTCCCATATTTTCTGTATGTGGAACATTTGAGTGTTTACAAGTTAAATATCATCATTATTATACCAATTGTGCAATGAATACTTATGTGATGGGATGTTTTCAAAATATTATTTAAATACGCATATGGGAGAAGAAAAAGGAACAACCAAAAAGGCAAATAATATGCCTGTAACAGTATTAAAACAGTAATATTAAATATTAAATCACTGGGATAAAGTATGCAAAATGGGCAATAACATTTCTGACAATCAGTGTTTATGAAAGCATGCAGTTTTTATAGAAAGGTCTTTTCCAGTCTGACTAAAGTTCTGTTCTACTTATTTCTTACATGTAGATCTGATTGCCCCCTAATTTGTTTAATCTTCATTGTGATTTGGATTTCCCAGGAAAGCTATTTTTAGCAATGAAATCAAACCGTCCTTTACATATAGGATTTATAAGACGAAGTATCAAAATATCATTTTCTGTTAAAGTAAACATAAGTATTGTTGATTTTTGATAGAAAAAAAATTGTTGAAGTGATGTGAAATGAACTGGAAATTAAAGACTAACTTTTTAATGGGCATGCAGTTTACCTGCTGGCTATCTGGACAACACCATGTTTGTTCTCGAAATTGTGAAAATGACCTCACTCAGTAATGGTTTTCCAGCCATTAAAGTTAGAAACCATATCGCTTTCAAAATTGTAAAAGCTTGCTGATGATTGGCTGTTTGAAAGGTTATGAGAAGGCGACAACCAATTGGTGGGTCGTCAGATCCTAATCCATAGTGTTAATTAGAAGCTGATTTTAATCAGGACATCCTTAAGATTCTCATATTATTCCAGTTCAAATAGCATTTTTAAGTTTACAAGCCTGTACATAATTGTTTTCTTTCTTTGTATTTACAAAAGGTATACTTTATAGTACTAGATTGATAATCTAGAAATACAATTTAGAGTTATGTGCAAATGAATGTTGAATTTTTTTAAATTTTTAATTTTTAAAACTTCCAAAACTTTCACTGAATTTATAATGTATCTTTCAGCAACCTTTATTAATATAGTAAAAAAATTATTTTGTTTTTGAGGATTTATTTCTTAAAACAAGGATTGTTTTTACCAAAGCACATTCTTTTACATTTATGACACAAATTAAGTAATACTATAATATTTTGAAAATTAATCACTACTAAATGTATCTTCTAAATTTTTAAAGGGAGTTTCATTAAATTTTTGTGTTTTGTATTTAAATACACTTTTAAAATGTCAGTTCTAAGAAATTGTAATCTTTGATTGGCAACTTTTGTAAAATCAAAAAGTGTTT